TTAAAAAAATATATATATATATATATATATATATATATATATATATATATATATATATATAAAAATTAAAAATAATAATAATAAATAATAATAATAAATAAAATAAAATAAATAAATAAATAAATAAATAAATAACTATCTGTGATAAGGCAACAAAATAAAATAAAAATCATAGGGACTTTATTAATCATGGACTGTAGCAATATCAGATATGTTTATGGCTGTAATTTCACTTACTAGTACATGTTTACAGGTATAACACCCACAGATGTTGTCTTTGATGTATTCAGTCTCACATTTCTTGTTTCTGAGCACCTTTATCACTCTTGCTAAAAATCAGTTGTTACTAATTCTGATAACAATCTAAGCTTAAATTATGTCCTGGAAAGAAGCTAGAAGTCCCCCTGACATCTCCACCCTTTTGTTTTAATTGTAAGACTAATATTAACAAAAAGACTAATATTAACAGTTCTGTGTCCTCTATGTAGTAGGCTTTCAATGTTTTAGCTGTCAGTCAGAAAGGGTAAGTTCTCTTATGAAGAGGCCCCCAGTATATATGAATTATACATGAAACAATGTAATTAGGTGATGGGTTAAAACATGAGGCAATCAAGATATGGACAGTTGATATAGTTAAATGCTAACAATTCATCTGTACTGTTTCGTTCTTCATGTCTAGTTTTGCCTTGAGGTTGACATCTCTGTAAAATATCACTCGTACTAGTTTGATTTGATTTGTATTATCCCTCTAATTTCAATAGCAGGCTGATTGGTCTTTTAATAAGATTTATTTTTTCACAATTATTTTTATGATGTCAAATCAACATCTATACTTTAATATGTTATGTAGCAAACCATCAAAGCTGTTCTTTAAGTAACTTCACTGTAAGAGAAGATTTTTCAATCATTTGAAAAAATTAATTAGTCAAGAGATGCTGGTGTGACACAGATCATGCACCTCTTGTTTTTGTTGTTACCTTACCAGATTTTGGCAGATGTAACCAGTCATTTTAAGGTCAGTTCTCATTGTATTGATCCAAAGTGATGACTGCACATGTCTGATAACAAGATCTGTCGGATAACATACACCCACGCCTGTTTTGTTTACATTGTCTGGTATTGTTCTTGCACGTCAATAAAGTGTGACTTTATATGATGAAAAAAAAATTATTAATATATTGTATTAATCTATTTTTCAAATTAATTTTGTGCAGTCAAGATAAGGTAGGTGAAAAGAAAGGAAAGCAGTGAAAAAATCTTGATGGGCTGTATAGATAAAGGATCGAAGTTGTTTAAGCTTCAGTAGATCATGTTCATTGGCAATTTCCTGTTACCATGGTGACCTAGTCTGTTTAATCTGAATATTTTTATTACATGATACAAGAATAGAAAATATAGATAGAAGGACTGTTTTATGCATCTTCTCTTGTCCTTGGCCTGAAGGGTTTTATTTTTAGACTACCTTTTAAGAATATTGTAAGACGTTTTACAGAGTAAACTTCAAGTAGAACTGTAAGTTGGTCAACAAGACAATGTTCTTGTGAAATCATGAGAACAGAGACAAGTAGTTACGAGGTCTTTATCTTTATCAGGTTGGGATATTGTTCACTCTGGTAATAAGTGTGAAATCCACTAAATCTCTTATTCAGTCATTAATATGACTGCGACTTGCCAACTGGATATTGGTAATTATAATTGCTTGATGTCCATACTAGTCATGTTATGGCTATTGATTGTGTGAGAAAATTGTACTGAGGGCAATTGTGTTTAGAGCAAAATAATCTCTAAAAAATAATCCAGAATTTGTACAGAAAAATTAATGCATTAAAGATAGTAAATGCTATCTATTTAAAAATAATTCAACTAATTTACACAAGTCTGTATGTTTCCCTAAATTTACTTGATTAGGTAAGATAAAAGAACAACTTACAATTCTTTTCTTTTTATCACAAGAATTGAAAATTTTGTGTTTGTTTCCTTATTTCTTTTGATCATTATGAACAGGCATTGCTTGTCTTGACATATGCTATTGCCTGCATTAGTTGTTGCTGTTAGCATTTGCTTCTGACATATCACTGCCCTTTCCAAGAATTTTTACTTATAAATATCACAGAAAAAAAAATGTTTTGCTTATCATTCTCTCATTCATGTACTGGAATGATTCCTAGGATTGAAATACATCCAGAGTTCAGAAAGCCATCAAATTAGATTATTTTTCTCGAAGCTCTGTTCTGGATTTGTTATTTTTGACAAATTGGCATTTTCCAGGTGTGACTTTGCATATCCACAGTTCCGAAAACCTGCACTAATTAGAAGTTCTGAATTTCCACAGTACCATGCATGCTGTTAGTATATACTGTTATTTAAACTGGTAGTGGCTAAGCATCAAGTAATATTGTATCTAAATTGAGAAAAAACTGTGTACTGTCATCATAAAGACATTTTAAGGAAAACCAGTTTACATATTATGCTGAAATTTATAATCATGATTCATAGGACTAATATACATATCCAATTAAAGACCCAGCCTCATTGGATTATTATTTTTCTTATAGTTATGAAGTTATTTAGTGATTTTTTTCATTTTTATTCACAAATATGCATTTTCAAGGTGTGACTTTGAACTGCCATGGGTTTGAAGTCCTGTGCTTGTAATATTTTCTGAATGTCCAAAGTGACAGTAGTGCAAAGTTAAAGGGTGTAATATTATTTTTTAAGCCTTATTTGTAATATTGCATCAAACTTTAAAAATACATTTTTGCACTTTCATCATCATAGTGATTGCTCATCATTTTTAGACTAAATGCTGTGCTTCTGTTAGTTTTCCCATGAATATGCCAATCCATGTGACAGCTTTGCTGCCTTGTTTTAATGAAAAGTTTCTAGAATAATTTTGATTTGATGATTTAGAACTCTGAATTGCAACAAGTTTGATTTGATGATTTAGAACTCTGAATTGCAACAAGAAATCAAAATAACATAAATATCTGCATGTGCAATTAAAAGATTGCTAGGGTGAAGGGATCTTGGAATGAAATTTTTGATAGAGGCGGTGATTTGTTTATATATGCTGTTAGCTGTAAATGAGAGGTTCAAATGGAACGATGACACTGAAGCATGTCAAGAAACAAAGTAGAATACTTCTTTGGACTATTTGCAGTGCCGCTTTGGCCTTTAACTCTTTTTTTTTTATACAGTCANAAAGGGATCTTGGTAAAAAAATTTTGATAGAGGCAGTGATTTGTTTATATATGCTGTTAGCTGTAAATGAGAGGTTCAAATGGAACGATGACACTGAAGCGTGTCATGAAACAAAGTGTAGAATACTTCTTTGGACTATTTGCAATGCCGCTTTGGCCTTTAACTCTTTTTTTTTATATACAGTCATTATGAATGCAATGATTGATTGTGGTGTTTTTATTTCACCATTTCTTATATTTATCAATATCCGTGATAGATATCTGAATTACCTAGGTCATACTTATCAATTTGGTTGAATTGAAGTTGTCAGCACTTAACATTTTAAATCAAACAATTAATTCATGTTTGCATATGGCTGTGTACTTAATACTTAAAAATTGCCAGGAATATGCCAACCTTGTTAGTATACTTGCATTCCAATTTCCTGAAAGGTTTTGGTCCATGAATAGCAGTTTCAAATCAATGAGATGAGTTATATTTTCAGACAATTCACTGTTTTTGTTGTAAGGATACATTTTGTTAAATTCATAATATATTATTTTTATATAATTTTTGATCATACTATTTTTCTTATCCTGTGAGAGTAACTAAATAGTCTGTAGTTGTCAAATTATAAGGTATTGTGTTGTAAGACTTCACTTGATTAATTTTTATCAGATTCATCATTAATTAAATCATCGAGTTCCACTGTTAGAGTATTCATGCACCAAAAATACAACAATAATACAATTTCAAATTTGTTACATCAACCTGTTTTGCCAAAATTTTGCTCGCTTACATGATCACTAGTAAAGAAGTTTTTAAAAATTTTTTATGAGGAGTATCATATACAAATACTAGATTTCCTTGGCTTTCGCCCCTTTCGTCTTCGTTTAACTGTTCAAAAGTACTCCATTTCACTATTTTCTCAAGAGTCTTTTAACCATTATCTTGAAATAATCCAAAATTACAGTGATATATATATCTTTTCTCTTGATTTTGTTATTGAGGCCATTTATATTCTAGGAAGAACATTTTGAAATTTTGTCCTCGTGCAATGCTGATGTTACAGAAGGCCTTGGCCTGTTACCTAGACTTGATAATCTACCCATTCCATGATAACCTGTGCCTCAAGAGAGTCATATTTGAATGTCTTCCTGTTTATTAACAATATGTCCTGAAAATGTAGGCATGATTTCCTTCTTTTATAGCTGGTATCATATAAAGTCCAAGTTTCATTTGCATTTTTTGTGAAAATCAGTACAAGTGTATGTTTTTTTTTTTTTAAATTTTTTTTTTGCTCTTCTCAGTACAGTTTCTGGATTTTTGAAATTTAGGAATTACATGATCACTGATTGATAGACTGTTGGGGGTATATTACATACATTAAAAGTGAAGTACTCTGTATTCTGGATGCAAGTCTTTATTTGGAGGAGATTGTTTAGAGTATTCTGAAATTATGAAAAAATTAAGTTTCTAAATATTATCTAGGGTACATAAAAACAAAGTGCAGGAAATTAGGTTAAAGTTAACTGTAATCATTAATTGTACAAATATATAACAAAAACAATGTCCAAAGTTTTAACTTCAGTGGTTGATCCTGTCAGGAGACAATTACTACTAATATGTAACCTAGTTATTTGAAGTGTTTCATAAATAGAAAGAGGCATATTTCCCAAAAAGATTCTTCTAAGCAAAATATCCAAAAAAGCATAATTGGTTTCACATCTGCATTTTCTTAATATTCCAGGTGAAACAGCTCATGGAAGAAGCTGTAACCAGAAAGTTTGTCCATGAGGAGAGCAGCAGTATCATGTCTCTTAGTGGTAAGTTATCACCTGGTCAATGAATTTAAAAATTAAAAGAAAAGAAAAAATGCCAGTTGAGGTTAATCCAAAGACATTTTTACTTTTAATGCAAATTAGATCTAGATATGGAATTGAAATTATACCTTTAGTGTTACACATTTCTAAATTCATACTTGGAGCAGATATAAGTCCAGTTCACATTAAAAAATAAAACCTGATCCAATAAATTCTGTTATTACCAGTGTCCAAAACGTGCCTTTTTATGTTCACACTAAATAAAACAACAAGGTCAAAATATTGGCCTCCCCAATCATACCTGTTAAAGCCCACTTTACACTGGATGGCGTCCTTTCTGCGTCCCGTAGTACAGCCCTATTTGAGAGTAAAAGTAAATGATATTACTGCTACTTATTTACTAATGAAAAACACGCACACGCACACATACACACACACACACACTGCACAAAAGACAAGAGATTGGATTCTACTGGCTGAAAACCGTAGGACATTAGGTATATCATCTGCTGTGTGTGAGAGTGTGTAGAATGCGATAGAGCCCAAGTCCCAAGGTGGGTTTAGTGCTGTCAGTGCATTCACTGTGTGGTGGGTCCTTGATGTACATTCGAAACAGAAACTGTGGTTAGGTGATAACTGTGGTCCAGATGGCTATTGTGAATTGAGTTAAAAATTACCATGGCCCATAGGAGCCTACGCGTGCCTCTTTTAGACGCCCCTTTACATGCGAAAACGACAAGGCCTATGCCGAGTTTGTCTTTTACTACAGAGCTTTGAGAGCCGAAAATGGCATGGCTGTGTCTCTTTCGCCACTTATTGAACTCCAGAGATGCGAGATTGACACGACCCATGTCGCGTTTGTCTCTCAAAAGACACTGTTATAAAACATGAAATATAGGCATTACGTGTGATTTTCGCAGCTGAATAAGTAGACCCTTATAAATGAAGTTGACGTGACCTTAGAGTCATGTCGCTTTCAACTTTTACAAACCTCCAACAAAATCTCCACACAGACGCGCGCGACATGTACTATTGGACATGGGTCAGTTGAAAGCAACATTAACCTAAATGGCTCATGTTACTTTCAGCCAATTAATTTGAAACAGAAGGACCGTCTTAAAACCCTTTATATTTGAATCCTTGAAAATAAAAATATGAGGCCATAAAATTATTACAAGCAATTAGCCACACTGTTATCTAGATAGCACTAAATTATGATGGGATTCAAATGAAAAAAATGTTTTGGGACAGCACAACACTGTTTCAAATTAATTGGATTTGACATATAAGAGTTGGCTGAAAGTAACATGAGCCCTTTAGGTTAATAGGGTTTCAAGTGACCCATGTCCAATAGTACATGTCGCGCGCGTCTGTGTGGAGATTTTGTTGGAGGTTAGTAAGAGTTGAAAGTGACATGACTCTCAAGTTATGTCAACTTCGTTTATAAGGGTCTACTTGTTCAGCTGCGAAAATCACACGTTATGCCTATTTCATGTTTAATAACAGTGTCATTTGAGAGACGAACGCGACATGGGTCGTGTCAATGTCGCATCTGTGGAGTTCAGTTAGTGGCGAAAGAGACACCGCCATGTCATTTTCGGCTCTCAAAGCTCTGTAGTAAAAGACGAACTCGGCACAGGCCTTGTCGTTTTCGCATGTAAAGGGGCGTCTAAAAGACGCACGCGTAGGCTCCTATGGGCCATGGTAAAAAATAACTATGACTGGGTTCACATACCTAGATTGATCTAACAGGATTGATTTATTTCCAAGGGGTTTCTTGCAAAATTGCTTTCAGCTTAAGTGGCTTAGATGTCTGGAGCACCTACTGAAGCTGCCAAACGATAATTAATTACCCCCTAACAGTAGGTGTGACAGACATCTAAGCCGCTTAAGTTGATTACAATTTAGCGAGAATCCCATCAGAGATAGATCAATCTATAGTTAGTACACTAAGGTCTGGGAATGGTCCCTATCACTCCCTATGTACTTACTTTATCTGTTGAAACCTAGAAACTTGAAATACCATTCCGTTCCATTTGTTGAGTGTATACACGAGTGTTTAGAAGTGATCTGGTTGTATTATCATGCGTATAATACTATGTTGTAGAGCATGCTTTTTTTTTTTATCTGATCCGTATTATGAAGGATGCTGTATACTTTAATTTATGCCAGTGTTCACAAAAGAGGAATAAATGCTGTTTTTTACCACCACCAAGGAGGTTATGTTTTCACCCCTGTTTGTCTGTCTGTTTGTTTGTTTGTCATCAACATAACTCAAAAAGTTATAGACCGATTTTGATGAAATTTTCAGGGTAGGTGGGAAATGGGTTAACTTAGAAATGATTAGTTTTTGGTAGTGATCCGGATCAGTTATCAATCAATAATCAATAATAATAAAAAATCACTGCCTTAGCAGAGGTCTGCGCTCTCAGAGTGCTTTTCTAGTTTGCTTTAGCATTTACAAAATTGTCTCGGAACCCAGAAATTGAAGAGCACATTTTGAAGAAAAGACTTTTGGAGTATTGAGAAGCAATGAAAACATGAATATTGAAGCTGTTTCAACTCTCTCGTGGCTTTTAGACGAAGAAAATAAAAGTATTATTCTGTGATGAATGTGAGCAGTGATTAACTTTTGGTATTAGTGAGCAGATTGTAAACCCAACGTTGACTCATAAGTCATGGCTCTTTCATGGAAATCAATGCAGCCTTTGAATAGTGGCTGTTATTGTGGTACCATTAAGGAAATCTCAGAATAATACTTATTGGATTCTCAAACTTTACAGAAATATCAGTTAAAGTAAACATATTTTAAAGACCAGGTTGCTGGCTGCCCCAGCCTGTATTTAACGTAATGGCATAATAATGGCATTTAGCATCTAGGAAAGGGAGATTTTATCAGCACATTTTTTATGACTAAAAGTGATGTAATGATAATTGTTTGTAATCCATGACTATGTAATCATTCATGGAGAGAAAACTGCTGTGAGATCCTGAGATATTGTCTCTGAGATCCTGAGATAGTGGGTGGGAACCTTCTAATATTTCCAGGAATTTGGTTAATCAAAAATGATATCCTAATACGTTGCCATTTGGATTTCTAAAAACCACAGCACTTTTAAGTAATGCTGTTAAATGGAGCTGAATTAATAATCCATTTATCCTCAGTTTCTCCTTGTAGTTATTATTCATGGGTCAGATTTCAAGACAGCTACTATAGCTCACGCAGTTTATTGATTTAATGGAAAATTCCATCAGGTTCTTGTCCCTTACTTTTGCTATCATACTTCAGTGACACTGTGAATATCACAGAAGTACACTTCAGAGAGTGTGTATGAATGTGAGAATCATTTTTTGAGAGCAAAATATTTTTCTTGAAACTGTCAGGCATCTTTATTTTTACTGAGGGGAATGCTTGCCCATCAATGGGTTAAGTAGTTTGTGCCACCTTTTAGTAAGCCATTAGTTCTCATTTTATCAAAGCGCTCTCACTACAGCTTAGAGTCAATATCAGCTGTGGTCTTGTAAATTCTTTTATATCTGTTGTTATTAGGTGCTGAGATATTTTATGACAACCAGAGGCTTCTCTTTTCTTTACCCTCTCTTCCCTTCTGTAAAAAATCAATTTGAAGCCAATGTGCATTAAATAGCTTGCAGAAGATGTAGACCACATTGCTGAACATGGCTTTTACAAATAGAGTTGATGCTGTGAATATCCCAAGCTTTGACTGAAGGTCTAGAGGGAAATGACCACAATATGCTCCACCTCTGTTATATTGAAATGCTGTTATATTGAAATATTGTAAGATCCTGAAAGGACAAATTAACAAGTTTCCTTATTCAGGCCTTATAAACGGATTAGGCATTTACTAACACTACCCGCAGATCTTTTAGCACTTATATCCATATTAACCATATAACCCACAAATTGACCAGCACTACAAAAGGGGATGAATGTTAGTGCTAGGAATCACTCTGGTTGTAGTAATTACTTTTAAGGTGTGTTGATTAATTAGTGGGTTATGTAGTTAATGCAGGTGTTGGTGCTGAAAGATCTGTGGGTAGTGTTAGTAAATGCCTACTCTGTTTATGAGACCTGTTTTTAAGTACATAAGCATTGGCAGTATTTATCTGTGAGTACATTGAGCATGTTACAAATGAAGAGGTCCTTAAACAGATTGATAAAAAAAGACGGCTTCTCAACACTGTCAGAGAAAGACAACTGAAGTTCTTGGGACATAGCATCAGAAAAGAGGGATTAGAAGATCTTAGCCTGAGCAGTAGGATACCTGGCATAAGTGCCCAAGGCAGACAACGAAAGTCCTTTCTTGACAATTTTGAATTACCAACAAGACACCTCTGGTCATGGGCGAGAAATAGAACCCTTTGGCAAAATATCAGCGTTCGTCAAACACCGAATCGGTGGTGGCACATGAAGAAGAAGATCCTTGTTCACTTAACATAATTTCTGTTTTACACATTAACGAAGTAAAATTTATCAAATTTAACTTACTAACAAGATCAGATATACATATGATAATAGCTATAATTTATTTTAAAAATGTTGTAGTTTTTTAAATCAATAATGATAATTCATTGCGGTCTCCCCATCCCCATCATGATGCTTATTGTGATTACAGAAACAGATTCGTAATGAGTATCTACAATCAGGTTACAACTGCCCAAAATTAAATTTTGGTTGTTAAAACCCCTTATCAATTGTGCTTTTTTGTCTGGTCTTGAGGTACTTGCAAAAAAAAAAAAAAAAAAAAATCAATAGAAATCAATGGCGGTTTAAGTGAAGTCCCTTGATAGAGCTGACACTGTTACCTTCACCCAGGCACTCAGAGAGCCTGAGGCATCAGATTGTTGTATGAATTAATGTGTGATGTCGATAGAACAATTACTGAACCATTCAGAGGCTGGCTTATTAGCTTTCTGGGGAATACAAACTGTGTAGATTGGAGGGAGGGTTGTTTAGTGAACGTGATAGAATGGCTGTCACAAGGGTACCCTACAAGATCAAGGGGGGGGGGGGCGTGGTCATTATTTTTTAATAGATATTTTGAGATTGCATGCTGTATTTCATAAACATAATATTTAGAAGTGCTCCACGTTTCAGTGTTCCAGGGTTATGAAAGTTGGATATTGATGATCTGGATGTTTGGCCCATTTTTGTGGAATTTTGCTTTTACACAAATTGTTTTGTAGATGTTAGTTTGTGTCCCCTTGGTTATTAGGCCCTGCAGTAGCTACTGCTAGTCCACTTTATTGAAATTTGGTGGTGATTATGCAGTTAAGCATTGTATAATATTAATATGTCGAAATTGGCAATGAGGGTATTCAGTGCACTTCCTTGTTATTATCAACAAAATTATGAGAGTGAGTACCGTAATATATATAAAATTCACCCTAAGTTGAAGTAATAACTCATCTTGGTTACATAACTTTTTTTCAAATTATTCCAATTTTTGTGAATTTTTTACTTTTACAAAACTTTGCATTTTCAGAAGTGACAGACTTCTGGCCTGTTTTGCTGTTGATGTTCACTTTATATAGTTCTGGTCATTTGACAGCGTGTGCTGTCTTGTTCATTAAAAGGGCATATTTATAAACATTTACACGGAGTTGGCTGGAAACCTCAAAGAGTTTCCACACAAATCAAAATAACAAATTACAGTTTTAAGTTGTTTCCAGGAGCTGTGGAAGCTTGTCTTCTGCATGGCCTCAAGAAACGTGCGCTAGGTCTCTTTAAGCTGAGCACCACTACTGCGCTGCTCCAGAAAGTTGCCAAGGGATTTGAACCAGCGGCCCATGTCATGAAGACTTACAGTGAAATAGAAAATCTGCATGAAGCATCCAAGTGAGATTCAATCTGGCACTTCCATACATTTGAACACACACACAATGCGCAAATACATGCACACAAAGTAACATGCATACATGCGAACATTTGGTCAGATGTGCACAAGTAGGTGTAATACCTCAGGGAAGTGACCAGTTATATTATGTGTTCTCTGCATCTGCTATGATATTTATGAACCTAGGGAATACTGGAATCTGTGGATGGGTTTAATGAAATTATAGTAAGAAAGTGTGTGAAAATGTTTTTATAACACAGACCTCAAAACAAATGTATTTTTTAAATTTAGTCCAAGTTAAAGATGAATTAGAATGTATACAGAAGAACATTGTTTTCATATGTATTTTGTATTTTCGTATTACTTGCCATTTAGTTTAAAGCCTTTTTAGTATATGTTATTGTAACAGTTATATTATCAAATTTATATTTCAGAAAATCATCCATTTCCCTCACTTTAGATGGCAACAGAAATCAGAGTGTAAAGAAACCAAGTGGTATTTACAACCCCAAATACTTGTGGATCAGGATTGCTCTTTTTGAGAAACAGCTGGCCAAGATTTTAGACTATCTTGTCAAAAACTGGAAGTAAGCAGATTGGTTTTAAAATTATGCTCATAAAAGACTTTAGATGAATGTATTGATTTTGAAATATGGCAAATGGGGTGTATCTTTTCTGAGTTCCGGGTGGATTGATGGTTATTTCCTTTCTTCCAAGATAACATATATATTATGTGAAAACTGGCATGCAGTCTTTCATTTTTGGGGTACATGTTTATCTTGTGAAACTCCTTAGTAAAGATTGTGGTGCAGACATTATGAAAAACTATTCAGTTTTATAACTGCCACTTATTCTGAAAGCCCATTTGCTTAAATGCCCTCTATTTGGAGTAAAGAAGAAGCATCTCCTAAAAGCTTTTTTATTATTCTCCCTTTTCCTATGCAAAACATTCTCATATTTTGTTTATTTGTATGTATGAAGAATAATTATTAATTAACATAAGTGAGCGTTATTGGACTGCAAGGTCACATACACATACACTAACATTGCAGCAGATAAACCAAGCACTTTGTTAAACACTGGACTTTTAAGAGGCTGTAACATTATAGAAACACTCTTATTTCATTCCAGAATATCTGCAAACATGATTTTCAGACAGCTAGTTATTTAATGAAAATCTACTAAATGTTATTTGATTTGCTTCCTTGAAACCTTTTGTAAATAGATATATAAATGATTTATAGTGCCACCAGATTTAAGTTGCTTAGGATTTGCCCTCCTTATTGCCGTACATTCCCCCTTCTCAGCCACATCTTATAACTTATAATAGCCTCACCTCACAAACTACAAGGACAAAATGTACATTTGGATGACATTTATTTATTTATTTATTATTTATTTATCTATTCATTTATTTATTTATTTTTACAATGAGTTTTATTAGGAAGAGATTGTCTAATGTTAAATTGTTTTTCCAGTAAATATTATGAGGAGTGGGCATTAATAGCTGATGGTTGTGATGGACCTATTCTCTCCTCTCTCTTAGGTAATGGTTGGCTTCCTTGATGTTTTGCTTAATTTTTTAGTTTGGGTTATTTTCTTAGAGTTGTTAATTACATATTGTTATTATCCAGTCAGTTCATTTTAATTGCCGTTTTGTATTAGTTATTAAAGCATGTGAGGATGAATCATGAGAAATTACTCAACTGAGAAAAAAATTAATGAATTAATTATTGCAAAAGATGTTCTATAGAAATACAATCATGTGTGTATTTCATTATCCTTTCATATAACATGCAGTCATACCACACCTCCAGATCTTTAAATATTGCATGTTATGTTGCTAGTACTATGTGACCTGCGATAATTTCATATCTCCATGTATGTGTTTAGTTGGTCCCTGTGCCCTGGAATATACCAAGATGAAAACCACTGACCATCTGTGGACAGACCCGCCTGCAGATGAGCTGGTGCAAAGACACAGGATCCACAGTGGAGGCAATCACCACATTACCAGGCCAGACTCCCCAAAGAGGCCTGGACTGCAGGTATATAGCTGTTTTTAAATCTCACGTGGTGTAACACAGCACAGTTTTTCATAAAATCACATGTAATTTTCAGGTTCCTAGTGACCACATTGTGGCGGGTTGTCCACATTGTGCCTAGGCACCATTTATTATGCCATTAGGCTTAGCACACTGGTGTGACTCTTGGTTGTGTCATGATGCTACACCTAACAGCATGCTCTCATTGTTTATTATGTCATTGCTCATAGTCATTGGCACTGCTGACCTAATAGCAGTTTACCTGTTAAGCCTCCTACATGACATGAATTATTTACATGCAGAGAAGAATTACATAGAGTTTTGCTTATTAGAACCTTGTTATACATGTGAAGGGCATCAGTTTATTGAGGTTACTTTTCTGCTCTTTTTCCATAAAGAAAGCTTGTCTGTCTGTATATTTATTTATTTATGATTAAGGAGACCTATTTTGGCTGCATTTTGTCATATAAAAAGTGTTTTCAGACTCTTCTGAATGAAATTTTCAGTGTAGAAATGGTAAACTTCCAATTTTCAGTCATTAAATGCAGCAGCCTGTCACTGCTGCCATGTCCTGTTTTCAGTACTAAGCTCGTGTGTGTAGAGGCCAGGTGACGGCAATAGAGAGACACAGGGCCAATTATATGTACTGGTTTACACAGAAGAAAATAATTTCAATAGGATTCCTTTCAGATAATTACTTGCTTGCAACAACATGTTGTATGCAAGAAGTAGGCTTTTTGAGAAGCATTGGCTGATCTGACATAGAATAAAGTTGACACAAAGCTGCTAATTGGGCTATATACTTCTTCGCTCAACTTATTTTTAATATTGATACAACTTTATAAATATAATGAAATCAGCTGTATAAGCAATTAATACTTTACCTATGAAAGTTTACGGTTTGTATATTCTGCATATAGTGATTAGTTTGACTACCAGAAGCTGACGGCACCTGCATGTTGGTGTGCATTACTTATGATGTTGATGTGACTTTGGAGAAGAGAGATGGAAAGTGTTATTTGTGGTTTGGATAGACTCTGCATGTTTGTATGGATCACAGGGCAAAATCAGTTGACAGAGCTCCATTATAAAGATAATGAGCAGAAATTTGATGTTTACTGTCAAGTTGTTTTGGAAAATTGGATGGATTCAGGGGATTTTAATGTCATGTCCTAGAATTACATGATGGGAGTAGTGCAGAAATGAAGATTTGAGACTTAGTACAACCTTGGGTTGATATTGTTCATTGTATTAAAATGACTGAAGTTGAGGAATATTGGGAATTCTGCTAACAGGACAGTGAATAAGGGTATGAGGTGAATTTGTTACACAGTTAAAATAGGTTGAGTGAAAGACTATTGGCATAGAAAACCTCAGAATGTTCAGTCAGTTTGCCAGTTCATTTGAAGAGATCTTCACTTGTTGTGTGAAATTCCACAGAAAAAAGACCAGGAAGGCAAGAACAAGAAATAACAGTTTCTTCATAATAGATCAGAAAAAGAAGTTTAATTTTATACCAAGAAGAAAGAAAGTTACAATAGTGCACATAAACATGCAGAATATTGGGGAAAATGTCCATAACAAGGTAAATTTTGAAGATGAAAAAAGAGAACAAGAAGAAGAAAACCCCAACAATATGTTTAAATATATTACACTTGTAAACACATGCCATGAATATAGGGAATCTTTATACTAGATGTATGGATCGAAGGTTGAAGTGATCTTTAAATGACCTTCATGCTGAAGGTTGATTGTGTTGCATTACATTCAGCTATGTAGTCATGACCTTAAGCAAGATGTTCAAGAGTGAAATATCTGTGCCAAAGCTCCAAGTATTTGTTGTGTTATTTTAGATAAAACTTCTGTCAGGCAGATTAATAAAGCTGGAAAATGTGCATTCAACCGTACATTTGAAAAAGTGAATGAGTCACCTGTTGGATAATTGCACCAAATAGATAAAGTGCTGTAGAATTATCATTTATATGCACAGGCTTTGGAAGTTCTTGAAACCTTTATCATTATACTTTACAGTTAATTCCTTATATTTTTGAAAATAAAAAAATGTGAAAGAATTATCAAAAGAAAAAAAAAAAAGAAAGAAAAAAGGCAATTCTTTCTGGCCCATGCCCATCATAATGCAATATTTTAATAAAAGTTATATTTCTTCCAGATCCGGAGACACACCAGTAGCAGCAGTGAGGAGAGCATGAGGGGAGCTCCAGTGTCGGCCAAAGAATATGTAGAATCTCTTCATCAGAATTCCAGGGTGCTTCTCCTGTATGGAAAGAATAATGTCCATGTTCAGCCAGTATGTGTTCAATATGTTTTATATGGTATCATTTGATAAGACAACAGTGTTTGCATATTGCCTTGCATAAAAGTTTCTTTATGCTATGATAAACCCGGCAAATTGTATATTATTTTTTTTAGTGCTCAGTTCTTACAGTTTTACTTGAAAATTGTTAAGGAGCCTGTCTTGAGAAATCTAACCCAAAGCTGCATAATTGTTACAAACCAGCAGAATACTGATAAATTTCAATATACATACCTGAAAGCAATTGCAGCGGAGAGTCATTAATCGTGCAATTATTGCATCTACCTTGATACTTTTATAAGGCCTTTTATTTCACTTCAAAAGTCTGAGAATCGTGCCGATTTGATATTCATTCAATCTCACTGATTTGATATAAAAAGAAATTCTTTGTATGTTATAGTATGTTTTTGCCTGCAGAAAGAAGATGCACAGCCCTTGCCTGGCTACCTGTCTCTTCATCAGTCTGCAGATGGACTGACCGTCAAGTGGACACCCAATCAACTGATGGGTGGTGGACAGAACACTCAGGAAGACACGGATAAAAGGTGACCTACAGATACACTGAAATGATTGATCATAGAGCATGCCCCTCTTGTCTTAAGTCATTTACCAATGAATCAGCGCAGAAAAAATCCTTGATATTTGAAAACTGATGTTGTTCATGTATTACCTTTTGCTTTTTTTTCTTTTGAATGTTGTCAATTGGAAATGAATGTGGTACTTTGATTAAACACCTTAATTATGCTATTGTTAGTTGTTAGTCTTTGTGATTGACTCATTCTGCACACTTTGACTGTGCACATTTGTTCTATTTTTTATTTGATTGAGCAGAATACACATCATTTTTCCTAGATCTTTTGTGCACCAGTGATTTTTCTGTGATTGACAATATATTGTATAGTTCAAATATAGTGAATGTCATTTAGGTCTGCATACATGGTTCACAAAGATAATCCAAATAGTGTGTTATACCGATATAATTGTGGCAGTTAAAGCCTATTTTTTAACCGTAAAACAGGGGTTGGTGGGGAACTTTAAATTGAGTTGGTGGAATACTTTTGTCATGGTTTAGAATGTAAGAATGAGTGAATGCAATGCTTATAGTACATGCGCATATTGAAATTTTGTTTGACCTCAAATGTTATTTGGAATCACATAGCACAAACCATGTCTCAGTGGAAGTTCACTGATTGTTATGTGGCTGTTAAATGTAGGCGGTGTAAAGATTGGTAATAATACATAATGTAAAATCCTATTAGAGAGAAATGATGTGTAAAATCCCATCAGAGAGAAGTGATGTGTATTTTGTCTAGAATTTTCTGTTTGCTTTATCAAATTACCACTGAGTGTGTTGTAATGAGCAGTTGTTCTTATGTGCTGAAAAGTTTTTGAACCTTTTTTGTTAAATATTAAAGCTTAAAAGCAAATTTTATCTGTTTTTAAAAGAGTGTTCCTTTCAAAAATCTAGAAATGACATGCCTCCTGCTCAGGCTAACACTTTCAAATTTCTCATAACTTGTTTTGCATTTGTGTCTTAATGATATTTATGTTTTCTTTTTACTCACTCACATCTGTTTCCCCCCTTTAGTTCCTCTCATCATTCTGCTAGCAACCATATTCATAGACATAAATATAAGCGTTTCCTCAAGAAAAGGGGTTCACAGGAGTGAGTATGATTTTTTTCCATTCCTCATGTTTTTCTCTTTAGTTGCATTCACCCATACCAAGTTAAACCAGTTCAGCACCAGGTAATCTTCTCCTGCTAATCAATCAGGCAATGTGCAAGTTATTTAGACCACGTTCCCATACCAAGCTTGATCTAGCAGGATCGACCCATCTCCGTTGGGGTTCTCGCTAAATAACATTCTGCTTGAGCGACTCTGATGTCTGGCATACCTACTGAAGTTGTTAAGGGGTAATTAACTAGCATTTAGCAGCTTCAGTAGATGTGCCAGACCTCTAAGCCACTTAAGTAAAATGCAATTTAGCGAGAATCCCCTCGGAGACAGGTCAATCCTGTAAGTATGATAGGGGTATGAGAATGGTCCCTTAGTCATCTATTAGTTAATTGTGCCACCAGCGTATGCATAGGAGGTACTTTGATATTAGCCCCAAACCACTGCACCCTCCTTGTCTGTTGCATGGGAATCAAGGAACTGGCATTTAGTAGGACTGGGACTGACATTTCATTAAAAGTTAAAAGGAAACATAGACTAAAATGTGTTTCACTAACCAAGGGAAAAGCAGATATAGTTATAATATAGAAGTTAAAAGGGAACAACACAATCCCAGCACTGAAGTCACTTTTTCCTAAACTATGAGTTTAGGGGCTGTGTGCTTTATTTTATAAACTTAATGCAATTATACGGTAGTGTTTCCCACATGCTGTGATCAATAAGTACATTTTCAGCACAGTTTCTACTTTTTTTTTTTTTTTGGGGGGGGGGGGGTCAAAATTGAAAACTTATTAGATATCTCTTCTTATCCTATCTTATTATCCCTTTGTTGTGTCTAATGCCAGCTGGTGGTACAAACCCAGGAGTTGGTAATTTTGTGAGTTTTAACAATTCATTCAGTAGAACTGTGTAAAATCAACTTACTACTGGGCTACTGGGATGAGGACTGACTAATTACTGGGCTAGGTGAATTTGAGCTGGTGCTGAAATGGTTTAGTGGGTATGGGTGTTCTTTTTTTAATCTTTTACCTCATGTTTTTTCCTTTATCAGCAGCTTTGATTATCAGTTGCGTCATTTCTCTATTACATATTTTTTGATTTAAGAAAAATGATGAAATTTATGAATGTAAATAATTTATGAGCGAAAAGTATCTGGCAAAAGCAAGGGATTCCTCCAGCTTAAGTTGAAAAATTTGTTATTGGAGATTTTTAACAGCATTTTTAACCTTAATGACTACCTTAATGACTAACTTTGGACGGTAGTGCTTTTGCTGTTTAGATGTAACAATGTGGGAGCAGAAATGAATAATATATACCTAATATCGATAATTAGAATAATAGAGGCTGGGTACTGATGCAAAAGTTATTAGAATAGGCAAACTCATAGCAAAAATGGGTTTTATATTTGTTGCAGTCTTTTACATCAATAAAACTCATCCTTGAATATTGCATTGGATTTGGAAACAGTAGAAGTAATTTGTCCTTATATGTATGTGCTTGTTTTATTACAAAAGAAATGTGATTTAGTCTCTCATATATTTTTCACATACAATGAGCACTAGACCTTTACATTGCAAAACATTTCCTAGAAATGCCAGTAAGTTTCCCTTAATCATCTAGTCATACACCACCCAAAAGTATTGAATAAATGACACCTGATTTTGAGTTTTTGGTTTAATTTTTAATCACTCTTGCAGTGAGTATGGAAACTGATGAACTGTTGGCGTGATGGTATGTTTAGAATAGGAGTTATAGATTGTTATGTTCTTGGTGGTTTTGGACTTGATAAAGGGAATTTCCAGGAAAAATGAGTTTTCCTATAAAATGTCAAAAGAACATTGCATGACCTTAAGAGCACGCAAGGGCCACTTGAACTTAATGCTGAATTTTATTTTCCTCGAAATTTAAATAGTTTCCCACAGAATACCATATCCAAAACCATTCAAAGAACGAAAGTCAAGGTTTTTGAATCACTTTTGTAACTAAGATTAAATACTGGTTTTGCATAGGGTATAACATTGTGATTAAGGAGGGAATCGCTGAAATATCCAGAAAAGTTAATTTTTCCAATACAAAGGTCTAGTGCGCATTGTGTGCTTTAAATGCCTCTGGCAACAGCTTTCTCTGTGTAATTTTCCAGTATCTACTGGGACTATGCCTTGGCCATTCATGTGGATGAGATAGTCTACCTTCACTGCCATCAGCAGCGTAAGTACTTCTGATTGTTTACACTGCGAAAATGAAACAGATTCAGCTCATTTTGAATATTTTTTTTTTTAGTACAGACACAATGATACAGATTCAAAATGCAAAAAGATAGCAGACCTGGCAAGCTATATATGAGTGTTTAAATTGGAATACTTTCTGTAACAAAGTATGAAACATAAAAATATTTATATCCATAGCAAATGTGGAGTTCTTAAATTTATGCATAAAACTATTTTTAGCTGACAGTGGTGGCACCCTGGTCCTAGTGGGGCAAGATGGTGTCCAGCACCCCCCTATACATTTCCCCAAAGGCGGTCATCTGCTGGCCTTCCTGTCCTGCCTAGAGAATGGCCTGCTGCCCCATGGTCAGCTTGACCCTCCCCTATGGTCACAAAGAGGTAAAGGTAGGTGTGGTGTTGATGTCCTCCCTAGTACTGTAGAGCCATAAGACATAATTCCATTCTGTTTGTGAATTCTTGGTTTTATATGTGCTTTTTCATCAGACTGATTTCTTGCCATGGAAAGCTGACAGTGCATTCAGAACAGTGGACTAACAGATCTGAAGATCACCCACTAAAAAGCTTGCAGCTTAATTCCCAATTAGACACTGAATAGATTCTCCATGGGGATTACTCAACAAGCATTGTAGTTGGTTGGCCATATTTGATCCATGGATCAGTTAGTCCAGTGTTCTGAATGCGGCCTAAGCTAATTCTTTTCTCATTTTGCTCAATGACATTGTAAGTGAGTGGAAATGTATGCAGTGTCCAGCTATGGAGCTGGTTAGCTTAGGTAGTGTGTTCTATTTTGAACAGTCACAAGTAGACAAGAAATGTGCCAGTGCTGTGCTGTGAGACACCCATGCTAGCATAGATTTTTTCTTTGTCAAATATAGAAGAAAATTTAAGTGAACTGAAAAATGAGAAATAAATTATCTTTTGCATCAATTCATCATTGATTTGGTATAAAAAAGTTAAAAGACTAGGTGAGGTTATTTGCTGGCATGTGTTGAATGACCATGTCTAGGTGCTGCACAGACTGCCATCTCCATTGGATTTTCAAGGAAAAAAATCTATGTTGTTGCATATTACTACACTCTTGGTGAGACTGGACCAAGCATAGAAATCCTAAGTAAGCTTTCTGATTCTCTTTGTTTTTCAATCAACATTGACTTTCCTGTGTTTTATCCAGTGTCATCAAAAGTAATTTTTTGTACTTTGAGTTCCACATATTATTTCATACCAGACAACAAGCTGACCATAATATGAAATATATAATTTTACTCTCATGATTATAATGCAGTCTGTGGCATGTGCGGTTTGATTCATGTTGATGGAACTAGTGCTTCTGATATGGACAACTCCTCATTAATAATAGCTACATTTGTATTTTGTTTAGTTTACACATTCTTCAATGTGCATTGGTCAGATATTGGCACCATGTCTGTAGTTTGACATTTTGTCATACTTAGAGAGAAATTCAGATATTTTCACTGACCAGGAACTATTATATGGAGTTTTTCACTAAGTTTATCTTGACTTACTTTTTGCCAAAACCTCAGTCTAATGAGTGGAAGTACATGTATGAGGTCATTGTATGTCATGATGGTTTGATGCTGCAAACGGTTTCTTTTAAGATTATAAAATATTCAAGTGGATGGCATCTCATTTTAGCTGTTGCATGCATTTTTACTGTTGAATTATTTTAATTGTATGTATCCTGCTTTTAATGTACAGACACAGTGTGTCTGTACATATAGTCATCATCTGTGTCTGTTGTTTTTGGGTGTTGTTGTCATTTTCTTTATGCCAGGTCATCCATACATTTTGATTCTTTATTTCTGCACATTTGGGTAAGACCTGCTTTAAGATATTGAAACATTAGTAGCATGCTGTAGCAAGCTATTAAACATTCACACAATTGAATAAAAAATAAGAAATAGATTACCATTTTAATTAATTTTTTCTTGAATGTATAAATAAGTTACAAAAATACACTAACTTGACAACACTTTTTAAGCAATATCACTTTGGCATGTACTAAATAAATATGTTTCATCTATGTATGAAAAATTGCACTTTGAAAGTGATTCTCACATCAAAGACTGCGTAGGCGAGTGATGCACATTAATTATCATCCGATTGAGCTGCATCAGTTTTGATGAGATTCTGTACAAAGAAATCAATATCATGATGTCTGCCTACAGCAGCATGCCTGGCATATTTCATATAACATGGTGAACACGAAGGCAAACCCAATGAGGAGGAGAAGCACCAGAGTGGCCACTGTCTGGATGTTTGATGCTATGAGGACTACAATGTATGCAGCTATGGCAAATGTGCTGCCATGCCCTGAGTGGGGGTCACTTTGGTAGAAAGCAGGGATTAACATAGCTAGAATATTAAATAGAATTACAAGAAAAATAATCCACCATTCTTGAGTGCCGTAGAGAAATTTCTGCATGGGTGCTACCTGTTGAATGTCACGTATCCTGCTTTCGTTTGCCTCTGTGTTCAGAATGATGTGTTCCAGGGTGTCAGCAAAAGCTTCACCGTATTTTTCTCGGTATACCTCTACTGCATCTCCAAAATCTCTAGCTGCGTACTTACTGATGAGGAGTAGGCACTCCAGGATCCAGTAGTAGTTCACCAGGATGAAGTTTACCAGGCTTAGGAAGGGAATGAGAACAGTGCACAAAATCATGAAAGCTGATCTGAATGATAACGAATAATCCTCACTAACGTAATTGTCAGCATGAATCTGAAAACCCAGCAGCAGCAACATAACAGCGAACAAAAAAGAATTTCCCACAATACAAATATACGTTCTTGTTAGAATTCCACCACAGAAGCCTGTTCTCTCCGATACCTTAAAACCATGCACATTTAAAATTAGTTCCATATCTTTCACAAGTCTTCGCACCATATACATTCTGCTTACATAGACTATGGATAAGTCCACAAGATCTATGAACAATAGAATCATACCAGTTATTTGCCAGGCATTACCAAACTGGTAATCTTTTCCAACAGCTAGTCCAAAAACGGTGAAAATTATGATTGGATAGAGGAGAAATTCGTAGCAAAGATTGGTGATATACTGAATGCGTTTATTTCTGTGTTTATCCTCCTCTGATGCTTCTGTCCTTCCAGTATTTTTATTTTTGTAATACCTTAACTTAAGGTAGAAATAGATGACAAGGAGAACAATGTTCTCTAGGATCCCAATGATAAGTGCAGGGATTTTAAAATGTAAAAAGTTTGGATCAACCGCAATATCTGCTATGGTAAATACAAGGTTGGCTAAGAATACGCAGTGCATGAATACTTCCAATGAGGTGGCTATGCATGGGTTGAGGGGTTTCTCTGTCTGGGATGTAATTAATTTATGTCCAAGGTTAGCCTGGTCCTGATTTGCTCTGTATGATAACCGTTGGGTGTCAGAGACAAAACAGTGGTTTTTCAGTCTGTCACTGGCACTTATGTTGCCTGCACCGACATCTTGTCTGACTGCAGCCTGGTCTTGGTGGATGATAGGGATTCTGTCACTTGTAGAAATATTGTCCATTTCTGGAATTGAAACGGCAACTTGGTCATTTTTTATTCTAGGTGTAGGCATTTCCACACTTGGGACAACTTGATTAGATTTTACGTGAGTGGTTCTTGGCTGTGTTTTTCTGTTCACAAAGGTCTTTGTTGAACCAGCCTGTAAGTTAATGGTCCTTCCTGATGCATCTGTGTATGTAATTTGTTGCCCTTGATGGTAAGTAACTGCCGGACTGTCACCTTGACCTTCAGCCCCTGCGTGGTTGACTACTATTCTAACTGTCTTGTGCACAACTTTCGGCATTATGAAGATTTCTGTCTTTTATCCTGAAATGAAAGCATGTCTTGAATACTTATGAAAGACAAAGTGGACTATGTACACAAAACCACAAACTGGATGGACATAGAGTGACCTTAACCACAAATTTAATCATCAATTATAATAATAGATTTTTATTCATAATGAAATATTTGGAAAAGTGTGCTTAGTTTGAGGTTCATTATTTTTTATGCCTGAGGCCACATGGGGATAATGACCTGTCAAGGGGAACTTTTCCACCCAGGGGATAATTCAGACATCATTGACTACATTGAATGACAACACACTGAGTGAAAGCTTTAATCCTATTTCCTCAGATATTTTTATGATAGATAGATCTGTTGAATTTAGCATTGGCAAGACACTGTTGTATATTCCTTTTTCTTGGGAATGTGAATTTTTCTTGGTCATTTATTTAGACATATTTATTGGACATCGGAAATATTTTTAAATTGTAGAATCCAAGAATTTAAATAATCTGTGTATTAACATTTTGAATTTTTTGTAATGAGTTTAAAAATTGATTATTAATTATTGAAAAAGTATAAAATATATTGCATATAGAAAATTTACATGAGATTGTATTTTCACCCTTTTGAATGAGCTAGATGACGGTTTCTTAAAAAAGTTCATTAGCCTGTTAGTTATACATGGATTGTTAAATTAATCAATTCACAGACAGTTTTTATCTTAATATTTTCATCAATAATTTTGATCAATGACAAATGAATCAATGATTACAACTCAGCGTTAGAACATCAGTGCATGACCAGTTTGTCCTGATTAAGGCTCTTGAGTTGAGCCGAAAATAAGGTGGCACGAAAATATTTAGATAAAAACTGTCTGTGAAATGATTAATTTAACAATCCATAGATGACAGTTATTTACACAGGATAAATCACCAAGAGATACCCCATACAGGAGGTTGATAGCATGTAAACATGCTGAGTTGGCAGTAGCACTGTTTTCACAGGAAGCTTTTTTGGTGTTTGAGAAGTGATCATGATTGGTTTCTAGTGTAATTTGAGACATGTCTCAAAATTTACAATGGTTGTGTGGAAAGGTAGAAAAGAAAATGGTGTGTTTGTTTTTTTCCCCTTTTATTCTAGAGGTATGATCCCCAGAAGACAGATCGACAGGTGTAATTTAACACTTTTGATAAAATTTGTAGTACAAATTTTAAGAAGAATTATAGCTGGGTAACATAGCCCTTTTCACTAGCTACACAATGCCATGAGAATTGTTTGTATAGCTGCTTTGGGGACAGGGAAAGTCCTGAAAGTGAAAGTTAAATTTTTATTCCCAAAACATTTCTGTTACATAATCTGAGGAAATGGGGAACACAATTTTTAGTAAAAATGTATCAATAGTGTGCAGAATCATATTTTTTGGTTTTATAAATACTTATGAAGGTATTACACCCTCTTTTAAGTTGAAATATTTTTACACTAGCATTCCTCATGTCACTGTATATTGGACACATATTGGTTTTACTGCACTCACCTATTTAGTGACTTTCTTTGAATTTGTCAAGCTTCTC